GCAACACTAAACAGTGCTGTGAGATCCAGTGTGAAGTGCTTGAATTCAGCGAAGAACACAAATGACTCTGTGATTTAATTTAAAGCCCGGTGAAACAGTGCTGACAAACAGGAGAAACACTGTGTGCAACGAGACAGTCAGAAGGCTTTTCAATCTACAAATCACCATCATTTACCATGCAGTAACACTAATATTGTGGCAGAAATGTGGGATATTTATATCAAATTGTATTATTATTAATGTAGACATGTATTAAATGTATTAACCCTCAAAGACCGAGACAGCCGCCCGCGGCTAAAAATAACTTTCGAACCGCTAATCCTTTTTGGAGATATCTCATTTATCTTATTTGGATATTCAGAGGCTCCGTAGTGTACGTGATTACGTCATCACATTTTGACAACATTGATTCGTCAGAAGAAACCAATGCATTTCGTTCCTCTGAGCCAAACAGGAACGATTGTTGACGCTTAGTCCCACCCCCGTGTCCAGATTGGTTCAAACTGTCCCATATTCAACCAATAAACAGGTTTTGGTCTTTTGAACCACCTTTTAGAATTTTTCATTGCATATATAATACAGTTTATATTACATAGTATGTCAATTACATTTGCTGTCTTTCCGTCTGAATCATCCATTACATTCATCTTTTTCTCATATAAAAAAATCTACATTAAACATTTAGATGTATTTACATATTTATGACCAATAGTGTAACGTTTCATATGCTGGTACGGTTTGTATGTAAGTTGCAAATGAGCATAATGTTCTTAAAATATCGATTACCCAAAACAGAGAAAATTTAGTTTTAATGACCTTTTCAACGGCCAGGTTGTAATAACTCATACAGAGTATTTTTCAGTTGTGTTAAACTTACAGTGCTTAGTACTTTTTAACTTATGAAAGAATAGATTTTAGTGAATTTGTGTCAGATCCTTCAAGCAGTCTCTCCAGCACACATGACAAGAGCAGGCACTCGGATGTACAATGCGCCTCATGAGAACATTCCAGTTTGGTAAAGTCAGTTTGGAATTTGAATAGCACAGAAGAACCGCCTCTTTGTGATTGGACGTGTAGTCTGGACGATAAAACGATAACTATAATTAGTACGATATAATTTTCCTCAATAAAACGATAACAAGAGTTCGATATAATGTTTATGCTTTAAAAGCGGAACGAAACAGTGCTACTCATTTGAAGCTCGCCACACGGAGCATTTATCCACTCGGGTCAAAGTTCAAACAGCAGCGCAGCGCGAGCTCACTAGAGCTGATGCGTTTACTCACTGATGAGTCTCAGTCACGCAACACTAAACAGTGCTGTGAGATCCAGTGTGAAGTGCTTGAATTCAGCGAAGAACACAAATGACTCTGTGATTTAATTTAAAGCCCGGTGAAACAGTGCTGACAAACAGGAGAAACACTGTGTGCAACGAGACAGTCAGAAGGCTTTTCAATCTACAAATCACCATCATTTACCATGCAGTAACACTAATATTGTGGCAGAAATGTGGGATATTTATATCAAATTGTATTATTATTAATGTAGACATGTATTAAATGTATTAACCCTCAAAGACCGAGACAGCCGCCCGCGGCTAAAAATAACTTTCGAACCGCTAATCCTTTTTGGAGATATCTCATTTATCTTATTTGGATATTCAGAGGCTCCGTAGTGTACGTGATTACGTCATCACATTTTGACAACATTGATTCGTCAGAAGAAACCAATGCATTTCGTTCCTCTGAGCCAAACAGGAACGATTGTTGACGCTTAGTCCCACCCCCGTGTCCAGATTGGTTCAAACTGTCCCATATTCAACCAATAAACAGGTTTTGGTCTTTTGAACCACCTTTTAGAATTTTTCATTGTAAATTTGAACAAACGCAAAGTGAAAGTAAAGTCTGTCGTGCGTGTGTGCATGTAAACAAACACAAAACAACAAATTTGCATGAGAGAACTCTCCTGAAAAAGCCCAGAAAAAACACACAACTGAGTACTTTGACATAAAACAAACCAAAAACAAGGATGAAACAACGGTACATATCAGATAAAGAACTGGAATTTATGTCTTCACGTCGCTAGGCGATGTCCCGGTAAAATCGATTCCAACGCAGAGTACAGCCAGCGGATCAATCATTTATATTATGTATATTATGTAAATAATCTTGTATAGTTCATAAAGATCATTTTCACTATTTTTTTCTGTTGCACTCTGTATATTTCTCACTCATTTTGTGTGTAGTTTGTGACTCATTTGCACTGTTTGTATTTTTGTTGCAGAAGACAATTTGTGCAATTGTTTTCACTAAATAGATGCACGGTTTGTGTTTGTTGTTGTTCATACTCAGATTGAAAATATATTTCTCTGAAAGAAGTGTCACTTTTTTTACTGTGTTTTGTTATTATATAACACTGTCCTGTTCTGTGCTGACAAAATGCAAACGCTTATTAATAACAGTGTTTGATACTTTACAAACAGACAATAAACATAAACAAGTAGCTTAAGGAACATCAAAACTTTTGTTGATTAACCAATAAGACCACTTGGATTAAGTGATGGTCAAATTTGTTCAAATGAATGAGAAGAAGAGAATATACAGTGGTGTGAAAGTTATATATATATATATATATATATATATATATATATTATATCGTGAAAGACTATAACTTCTAATGATTTTTTATTTATTTAGATTTTTCAGCTTTTTTGATGATCTGTTAGGAAATTAGTTCCAACATATATAAACATTTTTAAAAAATCAATACTAACAAAAAAGCATGTACAAAAAAAAAATCTTCCAATCTTTTTTCTTTCTGTCATTTAAATACACACATATTTCATTCCACTTGGGAATAAAAGCCATGAGAAAGGCCAATATAAGAGCAGAGACTGTGTGCAGTGCACTGTGAATATTGTATATGTTCCTGATTTGCACTGCACACTGCCTGAAGCTCTACAAATTGCTACAGCCACGGGACTTTAAAAACCAATCATGCTATCAGCTCCAGTGAATCTTAATACACTAATCAACTAGCCAAGCATCTATGGGTGTAGGGCCATTCCTTAATATTTATGACAAAGTGTGTCAATCACATACACACACACACACACACTCAGGTTTGTTTTTGTGAAAAGTGGGGACATCCCACAGGTGTAATGTTTTTTATACTGTACAGACCGTATATTCTATTGCCCTACACCAACCCTACCCCTAAACCTACCCCTCACAGGAAACTTTGTGCTATTTCAGATTTTCAATACACTCCATTCTGTGTGATTTATAAGCGTTTTGAAAAGTGGGGACATGGGGTAATGTCCTGAAAAGTCACCTTCTCCTTGTAATACCTATGTCATACCTTTGTCATTATACACATTTATGTCCTCATTTGTCACAAAAACGCGCGCACACACACACACACAGTGCAATCCAGTGGCAGCAAGAATGTTCCTAACACCTGCTTTATTACACATTTCACTATATTTCTAAGCTTTGTTCCAGGTGCAGGAGAAAAATTAATTATTATTAAGGATAAAAAAGTGCAAATAAATCATTACTCATGAGTTATATCTGTCCCCTGGCTGCACATCCATATTCTAATATATTTAATCTTTAACAATAACTTTGGCATCAGACTTCATTCTCTTTATCTCCTCCTCTCTCAAAGAAAGAAAGGTAAGAACAAATTTGGAAGGTAAGAAAGCAGAAAGAAAAAAATAAAAGGAAGGAATGAAGAAAGGAAAGAAAGAAGGAAGGAAGGGAAGACAAAAACAACAGTAAGTGAAGACAAAAAGAAAAAAGAAGAAAAGGTAAAAACTAAATTGAAAGGTAGGAAAGATGTAAGAAAGAAAATAAAAGTAAGGCAGGCAGGGAAGGAAGGAAAAGACAGACAAAATAATGAGAAAGAAAGAAGTGAATAAAGAGATGAACAAGTGGAAAGATGAAAAAAGGATAAAAAGACACAAAAAGTAACAAAAAAGAAAAGACAAAAAGGAATGAAAGAAAAGACAAAAAAATTATGAAAGTGAAGGAAGGAAGGAAAAACAACTGTAAGAAAGAAAATAAAAGGAATGCAGAAGGGAAGGAAGGATAAAAATAAAAAGGGAATAAAGAAAAGACGTAAAGAAAGAAAACTGAACAGGAATGAAGGAAGGAAGAATAAAGATAAGACAAAGAAAGAAAACATAAATGGAAGGAAGGTAGAAAAAGGTAAAAAATAGTAAAAGGGAAGGAAGAATAAAATAAGAAGGAATATTAAAAGGAAGGGATGGATGAAGAATGGAAGGAATGACAAAAGAAAGAAAGGAATAAAGAGAAGACAAAAAGAAGGAAAGATGAATGGAAGAAGACAATGTTACAATGTTTAATTTCATAAAAACTACACCTCCGCCCAAAGGGAGCATTTAGAACTTGTCTCTGAGGGACACTGGAACACTTTTGTCACAGCAGTGAGTCTCTCCCATAACAGCTACACACTCACACACTCACACTGGCAGAACAATTAGTGAGCTTGTTAGCAATGGTAAAACATAATTTGGTAGCATGCACCAGCTCAAAAACTGACCTACATGCAGCCCAACACACACAGGCCAATTTGGCAGAGGCGCACACACTTCCTCCCTCTGTCCTACACACACGCAAACATGAATCTGAAAGCTTGTTATGTAGTGTAGCTCTCAGCTGTCAGCTCGATTATGACACTCGGGCTGCTGCTGTTCCTATCAAGCAGTGCCAGTTGTATACATTCATCCAAAACATGACTTCGACACGTCACAGGCCTTGAAAATATCCCCAAAGACCTGCCATTGTTTGAAGTCCAACAACATCAGCTTGACAAGAGATGCAAGAATGTATGAGTCGAGTGACTAGGTCTTCTATAAAACAGATGTATAAAATAAATAAATAAACAGCTTGTGCTGTCATAAACAGGAACAGACGGAGCAGTCCAGATGGGACAGGCGTGAAAGAGCGATTCGATGTGAGATGCTCAGCACTTACTGGTGGTGTTGTATCGGACTCCGAGGAAGGTCTCCGGACAGGGGCGGGACACCACTTCTCCAGCACTGCTCCTGGGCCAGCATGTCCCAATGCCATCAATCGAAGTGTTACAGAACAAACCTGAAAGGCAGAGGAAGATAGAAAAGAATGACTTAGATTAAAGCAATAGATTATGAAACACAAGCACACATATTTTTGCTTTCTTGGCTGGAATTGATGGTATTTTAGAGTATGAAATCCTCTTTTAGAGTGAGAAACCTGATGAAGTTATAACTAAAAGTAGTAATTAACGCTAGAACTAGCTATATTTTTCAGCAGTGTGACTATAGTTAAGCTCTTTTCATAATATTTTACATTAGAAAAAAATATGAATTGTGCTTCATGGGCTAAATTAATAGGTTTTAAATATAAGAAAATATAAGAAAGAAAGAAAGAAAGAAAGAAAGAAAGAAAGAAAGAAAGAAAGAAAGAAAGAAAGAAAAAAGGGCAGACATGAAAGAAAGTAAAAAACTGGACAGATGTTTAAAAGGAATGGAGGAAGCAAGGAAGGACAAAAGAATGAAAAAAGAAAGGAATAATGTTTTTTTTGTTTGTTTTAGTAAACTATAACCCTGTAAAGTAATAAAGAGAAGATCATAATTAAAAGTATGCTGCTAACTAGCTGTATAATTCAGTAGCATGATTGTAGTTCAGCTGTTTTCATAAGGTTGTATGTTGAAAAATAACACACCAACAACCATAATGAAAACTATATTAATGTATATAGTATGCTAACGATAACTAGGAGCAACAACTGCTTTCAAATTAATATAAATAGAACCATTACTGATAACTGAGAAAACAATAACTGATAAAAAAATGAGCACTAAATCAGCATATTAAAATTATTTTTGAAAGATAATGATCTGAAGACTGGAGTAATGACTGTTGAAAATTCAGCTTTTCCATCAGAGGAATAAAATATATGTGACCCTGGACCACAAAACCAGTCTTAAGTCGCTGGGGTATATTTGTAGCAGTAGCCAAAAATACATTGTATGGGTCAACATTATTGATTTTTCTTTTAAGACAAAAATCATTAGGACATTAAGTAAAGATCATGTTCCATAAAGATATTTTGTAAATGTCCTACTGTAAATATATCAAAACTTAATTGTTGATTAGTAATATGCATGTCTAAGAATTTCATTTGGACAACTTTAAAGGCGATTTTCTCAATATTTCGATTTTTTTGCACCCTCAGATTTCAGATTTTCAAATAGCTGTATCTCTGCCAAATATTGTCATAACAAACCATACATCAATGGAAAGCTTATTTATTCAGCTTTCAGATGATGTATAAATCTCAATTTCGAAAAATTCACCTTTATGACTGGTTTTATGGTAAAATATATAAAAAAGGAAAACAGTTATTTTAAATTACAGTAATATTTCAAAACTGTTTATACTGTGTTTATGATCAAAGTGACGCCTTAGTGAGCATAAGAGACTTATTTCAAAAACATAAAAAAAAAATCTTCATTATTCCAAACTTTTGAGTAGTCTAATCACTGTCAATAAAAGTGCCAAAAGAAAAGGTGTACTGTTGAAATGCAGTGTTACGTACTGGCAGCTGAAAGTATAGTCTGATTAGATAAAATATTTATTAAACAAGCACAGAATATAATGTGCACAAATTTATGAGTGGTGTTCCAATATTTACTGAAACGCGCTGAGCTTTCCACTACGTGCACAGAATCAATACCTACCATTTTAAATTGAGTCAATCAGCACCAAGTGTTTCCTATTACATTCGCAGGAGATCATTTAACACTGGTTATTTTCTATGTGGTATCTGGGCAACGATCGAGTCTCGCATTTCCTAAAGAAATGCTTATTCTTAAGAAACTGGAGAGTAAACATATTCAGAGGCTCTAGCATAAGCGCTTAAGGCTTATGGCTGCATGGCAGACATGTGGGATTAATGAAGATGGTTTCAATCTCTTTATCCATCTTCATCTCTGTGGCTTTCTTCTATGTGTTTGTGTGAGCCGCAGGACACACTCCTATCATCTGAATTAGCCTCTTTTTCAGAATTCAGAGTTTTTCCACACATTGTTCTTTCAATCAAAAAGGATCTGTGGGGCTCCAGTGGAGATTAAAAAGTGTTTTTAAGAGTTCTTAATCTTCCAGGGGGACTTTCACATATATGTCTTATCCCACTGCATTCAGAGTACATTTTTCGCAGAAAGAAAATACATTTGAACATGGGACCATCTGTTTGACCAACCGATGGTGGACATAGGTTGTGTTTTGGGAAACCTGTTTTAAAGCAGGTTATTTTATTTATCTGGTTATTTTATTGGCACAAAAATGACACACTACATCTTTCAAGTTCTGAATTTACTATTTGTTATTAATAATTAAAAACAGAATCTCTAGTGCATGATATCAAAGACTAAACTAAATATTTTCTTGGGAATATTAGAGTCATGGCCACGGGCTGAAACACTGTTTCTGTTTGCAATTTGTCATATTTACAGATAAAGACCTGAGTTGTAAACTGACCTGTAGAGTTGGTGGGACTAGATGTCTGATTCCACAGGATCAAAGTGCGAGCTGGGAAAAGAAAAGAAAAGAAAGTCAAAGAAAGGAAAGGAAAGAAAAAAGAAAAGAAAAGAAAAGAAAAGAAAAGAAAAAACATTAATTTCATACATGTACAGTATTATTAGAGTACAGGGTCATAACTTTTTCTTTCTTTTTTAATGTTTAAATTGAATTTCATTTTTTAGTCATTCTTTAAATAAATGAATAAATACATGTATTATTTTAGAATGAAAAATAAATAAATAAATAGCATGACTGGAATTAAAAGTATTGCGAAAAAAAACCTCCATAAACATGACTGGTGGATGATGATAATTACAAATGCTCCCACATCCACTTGTTCTTTCATCTCAACACAAACTGTTTTCACATTTAATTTACAGCACATATTTCTAGGTTTCTCGCTGACAAAGGATCAAAGCCTTCAGACGATATCTATGTAAATAAATCAGGGAAGACAAACTGTTGCTGTCGCAGACAGGGCTATTTATGTAATATAATTAATATACTATAATATACTATAATATACTATACTATAATATAATATAATATAATATAGTTCTGAAAGAACTATAATTTGGAAAAAATGTGATATTGCTTAAATAATTTAAACAAAAAGTTACATGATATTATTAAAGAAAGAAAAAAAAAAATCATGCCCTCTGACTTGTATGTATATATAGGAATGTCTCTATCATCAGGGCAATTTCAAACTTGAAGTACCACATATATGGAATGCATTGTGCTTGAAAGTTGAATTATACTGTTCATTTGATGCTGTGTCTTTAAAACAGTGCTGGTAGCACCAAACCAGAATAAACCAGCATGAATTAGAAATTAATTCAGGTCTGTGAGAGTCTTCTCAGCACAGATGTGAATGGAAGCCACTGAGCAGCAATATAATTCATTGTTGTTTTCACCAGATCTTTTGTGTAGCTTCAGTCAGTCTGTTGTTTACAAGGTCTCAAATTATCTAAACATTGCACAAACATGATGTGTTGGAAAGCTTGGCTTTGATCATTTTGGATGTTAAACAATTACATACAGACAAAATGAACAAATGAGAAATAAAATGAATCTGAATGATTCTGAGAAACTTTTTAACTGTACAATATAACTTTTTTCTCTGTTTGTCAAGTAAATAGCATTTTAATCTTTACTGTATGGATTTGTTCACCTTTGCCTATCAAATCATGGTTGAATTTGTTTCTCTATTCACAATCCTGTCTGCTGTTCACTGAGATAAAACAAGCACACATCTATTAATCTTCTACTCACAAAAGCAATGGACAGTTCATCCGGCTCCATGGCACTACAGCAGAACACACGCACACACTGGAGCTAACAACTCAAGCTAACATGTCACTGTGTCTGTTCATCCTCTGGCCCGGAAATAACAGGTGAACGAACGGGGATATCGCTGCTGAATAATTCATAATGGATATGAGTAGCTCTGCTCTTGATGTCTTTTCAAATCGCAGAAACGGATGCGCAAAACAATGCATTCTAAGTACCGTGCCGTAAACATATTAAAACATATTCATTTGAAAATGAGGTTCCACCCAACGGAATGAAGTTTGTTTGTTTGGCAGCACAATGAGGAACACTGCTGTTCCTGCAAATGTAATTTATACGGACATCCATGGTTTTAGTTTTTATAGGATCAGCACGCATCTCAGGAAATAAATGCATATGATCTCGACGTGCTTCATACAAGCTACTGCACATCTCTCAGGGAACAAAAAAATCCATTCTTGGACATGATCAACTTGGAGAACTGTGCTGATAGTTTGGGGTTTACTTTCAAAAATTTCTCAAAACATCTGCTGATCTGAGCAGCTGAAAAAACAATGGACACACCAAATAACTGTAACTACAATATATGGCAGGGTGATAAAGCTAAATCAACTGTATACATTTTTGAATGATAAAATGCAATAAAAATATTATCAAATATTAAAAAAAAATGTCCATACTGTTTTGCACTAAATGAACAGGGGAAAAATGGTAGGATGTATATTATTTTAATGGAATTAGAATGATTATTAATGATTATTATTGAATTGTATTCTTTTTTTATACATTCTAATATAACAATAAATTGTAATAAACAGCAATACTTACATTAATTTCTACTCAAAATGCTAATTAATCAAGTTATAATCAGTTCACCCAAACAGACAAACAAATTTGAACAGATTCTCAGCTGTGTTTTCAAACAATGAAATGCTGACACTCAATCAGAATTTGAAAAGGACACTTATTTAACGTATATACGTCAGAACTCGTTTTGTACTGAAAATCAAAAACAAGATGTTCAGCCCCCATTATGTTGTTTATGTTTGGCATCAAACTACATGTGATACCAGTGCAGTGGAGTGACTGAATGATGCAGAGGACACCCACAGCTCACAGTGTGAACAAACAGAAATATTTGGGTGCAATATATAGAAGTGAAGGTTTACTGAAATGCATAAAATTCATTTAAATAAAGATGAAAATAAATGTATTTAAATATTATTCAATGAAAAAGGTGTATTGTTTAATATTAATACAAAATTTAAATATAAAACTATTGACAGCCCTACAAGGAAAATTCAATTAGTAAAAAAATTAAAAAAAATAAGTTGAAAAAGATATTTCCTTCATGAAAACAAAGGGTGATTTTATTACTTATTGTGTGATTGAGTATATATATATCTATATATTGTGTGGAACACCGCATAGCCATTATACAGGGAAACAAAGCCATTTGAACAGAATAATTACATGCTCCTGGTAGTTCAGTGTTAATTACATTGAGTGGGCTCAGAATTAATTATCCACAGCCATATCACCCTGCAGCCCAAGACTGGTTGCCCACTGAAGCTAAGCAGGGTTGAGCCTGGTGAGTACCTGGATGGGAGACCTCCTTGGAAAACGAGGTTGTTGTTGGAAGCCAGGGGGTGCTCACCCTGTGGTCTGTGTGGGTCCTAACGCCCCAGTATATTGATGGTGACACTATACTGTAAAAAGCACCATCCTTTGGATGAGACTTTAAACCAAGGTCCTGACTCTCAGTGGTCATTGAAAATCCCATGGCACTTCTCGTAAAAAGAGTTGGGGTGTAACCCCGGTGTCCTGGCCAAATTCCCTCCACTGGCTCTTGTTCATAATGGCCTCCTAATAATTCTTATTCACTTGATTGGCTCTATCTCTCTCTCCTCTCCACGTGTAGCTGGTGAGTGCACTGGTGCCGTTGTACTGTGGCTGCCGTCGCATCATCCAGGTGGATGCTGCACACTGGTGGTGGATGAGGAGAGACCCCCCCCATATGATTGTAAAGCGCTTTGGGTGTACAGCAATACACAATAAAGCACTATATAAATGCTTCATTCATTCATTAATTCATAATGTTAATCACAGGTTTGTCATGAGCACCCTGAACTTTACACATGCTTGGATCTGTGAATTTTGATTTCAGAATTACATAAATAATGCCCACACAAACAGTCATAGCATAGCACATGACCTCAAACGAAATCTGATCATCTCAGCTCTTGAAATTTTATTATCCTTCAAAATATGACTTCCAGGAGACTTGTGATCAGAGTCAAGTCAAGTTAATGTAAATATTTGCATTACAATGTTAAATTTAAATTTCAGACTCCGGTTGATCAAATTAATTATCTCTGAAATAAATAAATAAATAAATAAATGAAAAAAACAATTCTAATGATATACATTCAGTCAAGCCTTTGATTTTCAAAATAATTTTTATTAGAGTATGAAGTTTCACTGCACGTCTGTTTGGCAAGCTGAGTTGACCTGCGAATTTGTGTAAAAGCTCATACAAATCATGATGAGAGCAACTATAGCTATTTAGTGATTCATGCTCTGACAAATAAAATATTATATTTTTACAATTTTATATTTATTTAAATTATAAATGAATTACTTCATTTAAAAATAATTTATGAATTTAATTAAATTTAATTTTAGCTGACAAATTAATTTGAAATAATAATGTTTCTCTATTCTACAAAACTCTAGAGTCCAGTAATAAATGACAAAGCTCTTGACCTGTCCTGATATAAAATACAATCAGCCCCTTGTAAAACAGCAGGCAGTAATCAAAGGTCAGCTTGTTAAATGACTCTTAAACTTCTCTTCGTCGACTCTCAATTAGTATCACTAAAGTTACCACAGAAACACAAAGCAGATAAATTCAGTTAGCCAGAAACACTTAATTAGCCAATTTCACCTCAAAACACAGTCCCTTTTAAACACATTTTCTCAAAGCTCTGATTTTGCCAGTGAGGGGCCATCAACATGGGTATGATCTTGATGTGCTTTATACAAGGTAGTGTACATCTCGCATGGAAAAAAAAAATCCATTCTTGGACATGATCGACTTAGAAAAACTGCGCTGATAGTTTAGGGTTTACTTTCATAAATTTCTCAAAACAGGTCAACATGAGTGTTGTTTTCTGCTAGTTTTTATACTGTGAGGTATTAACTGCTAATTTAAGAACTAGAAGGTACAAAACTCTGCATTTACAAACTGTCCAAAACAGTCTCAAAGACAGAGATGCTATAAGGAATCAAAGCCAAAGAGATGGTTTCTGGTACTGAACACGGACGACATATTCATCCCTTGTCTGTCCCGAAAGACGGGACAATGTTACTTTTTATAGGACAATGTTTATGTACTTTGGCACATAATTTGTTGTTGGAAATAGTAATGTACCGGATGCCTTAATAAAAACTGATCTACAGAAAATGTAACCCTGGACCTTTCTTTGCTGAAAGGCACATAAATGGGTTATTACTCAGTCTTGATTATTAATTGACTAATTTGATTATTAATACATATTATATGGAAGAAATTACGGCTGTGCGATATTGAAGAAAAATGCAATTTGCGATAACTCATTAAATAATGCGATATTCGATATGCGATACGATAATGCTTAAAGTGCCACATGCTGAGATGAAACGTCTCGGTTACTTTTGTAACCCTCGTTCCCTGA